GCAGTGGGCGCACATGGGATCCGGAGTCATATCAATAGACGTCTGCTGTCTTGCTTGGATCCGTGAAGGCAAAGGACCAGCAGCTTCAGGAGAAGGAGGTGGGGGCATGTTTGAACCGGCCTATGCAATCCCTATTTCATCTCCACATAATCTCCGGTCATCAAGAAGTTCAAAACTCCGCAAAGATATCATCTGCAATCTCAGAAAGGTTGAGATGACGTGAATTAAAAATATCGGCAATTATTGACAAGCTTTAAAAGTTGTAGATAGGTTGTAGATTTTGGTATTAGGATTTGGAGTTGAGGATTTAAATGATAATCGGTGTGTAGGGTCTAGGCACTGTCTGGCCTCGTAAAACCGTGCATAGCTCAAACCTCCCCACTACATTCTCTCACAATGAAAGCTTTCACCCAACAACGTAGAAGGAATATTCATTACTGTTGAGCTGCTGCTCTCTGGGAAACAATGCAGGTGGTCGATTTCCGTGACCCGTAATTTTCTTCGGAGCATTACCTGCAGCAGCACAGTTCCGCGGCTCTGCGGCTCAAGTCGCGGGGCCAGCATAGATGTCCGTATTGGTAGCACCATTGTCTACGGAGCACAGCGCGGATGCCAAAACAGAAGCAAACCAAGAGTTGAGGAATGCCAGACGTGATCGCCGTAAGTTCGCACAGATGATCACGGAAAAACTTCTCATAGATGCCCGGTAATGGATTCGTTGTCTGGAACATCAGCGTGACCAACCACTACAAACATTTTTTCATGCAGCGGGCGGTTCTGTTTGTGGATCCGGGGGGTTAGAATAAGAACCCTGAGCAAACCTCAGCTCCCGAAACCCCCCGAGCAGGCCTCAAACCTTTCACAACCATGGCAAAGCACCTGTAGTTAGCTCCCACATGTTCAAAGCCAAAACAGAGCAGAAAACAATAACACTTACACTTCAAACCTCCCCCAAACCACGAACAAAACACCTAGAACCAACTTTGGCTAAGCACAAAACCAAAAAACACAGAACATAACTGCAAATTCTGAAAAAACATCCTTTTTCCAGGCAGAGGGTATTGTGCAATCTCCAGCCTCACCAGATGTGCCGGTGACCTCGTCGGAGAACCGCTTGAGGCAAGGCGTTCCAGTCAGGCAATATGTTGTCCCGATTCCATCTTATTGACTGCTTAGTCGTCTTGACTTCGGTGGCTTCTGGTTCTGAAGTGAAGTTGATTTTGCAGTCGTATCTGCATAGTGTTGCATGTCCTTGTAGGGGAGCGACAGCAAGCATAGCAAACTGCAACCTTCATACCAAGTGTCGCTGTGGATCTGCCACTTGAAGACTTTTGGGTTTTTCAGAGCATCGCAGGAATGCCATGGTTGACTCTTCCTCATCCTCAACCCAACTCAAAGATGCCATCAATGCTGTGGAGTCTTTGCTGGGCGAGGCGCAATGACAGAAGAAAAAGCATGCCCCAGATGCAATGAATTAGCTGGATGGCCGTGTTGCAGCCGCGCAGCTTGGCATGTAGCCTGTCAGGCACGCCGTGAGCTTAAGAACAAGCAGTTGTGGAGGCCTCAAGGTGGCTGGTAAATGTCACGCTTGTTCCAACACGCAATGATGTGTGATGAGCTCAGGCGCGAGAGGCGGGCAGCCTTTGAGCAGCTCCATGCGGCCCTGGAGGCTTTATGCGCACCACATGGTCACGACATAGTCAAACAAGCTTGGGGCTGGATCATGAGGACACAGGTTTACCAAAACAGAAGGAACGAGAAACATCATCAGCTGGTGACGACAGAGCGCCACAGGCCTTGGTCCTTGGTGTTCAGGCCTGGAAGCAAAGTAGAAGCGTCAGCAACTCGTAGATGCGAGCCGATCACAAAACTGAGCCAATGTTCATAGACCCTCGCCATGCCAACAATGTCCCTCCTTGTGCGAAGAAATTGTAAACAATTGCTTCTTGCAGACGTTGCTTAAGCGTCATGACGCTGCACACGACTTTTTTCTGACATGCTTCAGAGCAGACAGGCATTCCGGCGTTGCAATGGCCTTCTAAACTCTTGTGGCATATATCTACAGCCTTCTACAGCATCATCTGTGGAAGAATGCTACGCTAAAAAGAATTGACAAACTTGCGCCCAACTGAAAGGCCAATGATGAGAACGACTTGGCCCAGGCGGTTCACTCCGTGGTACATGACATAACCATGCATGAGCAGGCCGTTGTTGTCTGGTGAGGCCGTCGCAGCAGCACGAGCAGCAGAGGTTGAGGCAGAGGACATTCAAAAGGCAGAGGCAAGCTTAGCTTGCATTTGGAACATTGGTCATAATTGTTGAGGTTGTACATGATGCGGCATCCTATAGTGACGTCCTTTCATGCTTCGTGCCCGGGTACTGTAGGCATTCATCTAGCAGCAACTTCCGACACCAGCCACGCCTTTACAAATTGTAAATGTACAACGCAAGCAGAACGAATACATCTTGACGAACACGAGTTGGCATTCTAGGAGGTCTGCATCTTCTGACAGTTGCAAGCTCTTGAGCGTAGCTTCAACCTCGCCACAACAGCATGCAGAACTCTAACCATTTTCGAGTGTGCTTGTTCATGCGCAGCGGGCCGTGGCATGCCCTGGTGCATGGCATGGCAAGCTCTTCTCCGTGGGAGACTATGGAGGGCCCACCGCTGATTCGTAATGTTCGGGCTTTGCAAATGCGAAGAAGGCCGGCGCATTTCCGTTAGAAAAGGTGTTGTTGTGAATATATGCAGCAATTTGTGGCAGCTGCAGCGGCTCTCTGAGAGGCGGCCAAGACTTCTCACCAGTGGAGATTGTTGTGGTCCAGCCAACATTGCAAGATTCGTTGGACTGATGCTGCATGATTGCGTAGGAAGCATGGTTGAGGCAGCTGCCAATTCTGTACGCCGGAATATTATATGTTCACTTTTGATACAGTAGTATTGATATGCGTTAGTTGGATACGGGTCAGGTCTTCCGGCCAGCTTCAGGGGTTTTGGTACGTTGGTACGTCAGGGCTCGAGACTGCAGGACGTGCACATGAAGCAGAAGGATGCAGGCTCAGAATCAGAAGGCGAAGATCGCAGATTTGATTTGAGCGAGCTCGTTGTGGCCCCAGCTGCCTGGCTTGCACAGTCAGTGACGACACAGTCGCGGATAGACACGCGGGATGCACGCGCGCGTGCAGTAAAGTGGGATCTAGAGTGCTGCCTTGCTTAGGGTGGAGGTTCATGTGAGTGCGATGTGTCTGCAAGCGAGGGTTGTGTGCTGATTGCCACATGTCTTGCAGTGTTGTGTGCTCAAAGTTTCGGCTCAGGCAAAGCCTCCATGTGGCCCGTTACGGGACCGGGTTGTGGGATCCAGGTGCAAAAGTTGCCTGCTTCCAGGAGTGCCATGGCGCCCTCCAGCGGCGGCGCGTGCCGCTTTCACTTTGAGATGAGAAGGAGACTGGCAGCAATGGACGCTGCAATCAACCAGGACTGTGACAGGGCTCCCACAACTGCCGCAAACCGCAAGGAGAGGCGAATGGCCTGGGTTGGCCATCTGCCAGCAAGCTTCACCTTTGAGAGGGCTCAGGTGGAGACAACGTTGCAGAGGCGGCTTTGGAGGATCTTGTGTGGATCCGGCATGAAGCCTGGGCTCCTGGCCATTTTGGCCACGCAGAGGGCCCAGAGAGTCAAGCGAGAAGAACACCAAGTTGGCATGTCAGTGCATGAGTTGTTGCTGGGCATGCCGTTGTCTGCAATGTGGCTTCCGGGAAGGGCCTTTGGTCTTGCCCCCGAGAAGGCCTGGACGAAGCATCGTGATGGGGAGCTCCGCGCCTTCCTGCTGCGCCGCCTGCGAGGTATCAAGGAGGAGTTCTCAAAGCTGAGGGGGCGGCCTTTGAGCTGGCCTACAAGAACCACCTGGACCGCGCGGAGGAGCCGATTCTCCGCTTCAACCGCGAGGGGGCGGCCTATATGCTGGCCATCCCGGACCACCACGACGCCCTGGAGTACCCGATTCCCCGCTTCGACAGAGGCGCCAGGGCCAACCCTTCGATGGTGACGAACAAGGCGACCTGGACCTCGAACTCCAGACCGATCAGGAGTGCCAAGCTCCATCGCCATATTCACTCAGCGTTGAAATGGATGATTGTCAGTGCGTGTTCACGTTTTGGTTTGACATGAAGATTGGGAACAGCGCCTCTTGTCACCTCCCATCCCTGCAGGTCCCGAGTGGTGCACCCCTCTTCAGGATGTCGACTCAGGATTGACGTGCAAATCAACCCTGCTGCCCTGCTGTGCCGCGAGTGTTGTAACCCCTCCCCCTGGTTTCCTGGAGCTGTAGGTCCCGAACCCGTGTGCTCCACATCCCCGCCGCTGGATGACCTTAGGGACCCTAGAGGTGTAGGGCCTGAACCCGCGTGCAATACGAGGCTGTTGACTCTACGTGCCTTTCGCCCAATGCCCCCTTGTACTCAGGATGTCTCTACGCATTCTCCGCGTGATCCTGAGCCCCTCCATCTGTGTCCTCCGCCTTGCTACGCCGTTGGCCTCGAGCCATGCCCCTTCCTTCGGTCTTTTGGGGGAGTAGGTCCCAAACCCGCGAGCACTGCAGGCCACTGCGTTAACCCAAATGTAGACCCGGGGGGGTGTAGGTCCCGAACCCGTGTGCTTTACAACCCCGCTGGTTGAGCCTAACCCTTTGGGTTTTAGGGGTATGGGCCCAAATCAGCTTGTGCATTGATGCTGCGCACGCCTGCCGTGATGCCACGGGATGGCTCTCAGTTAACCACAATTACCTGAAGGCCAGTAACCCAGGGCCTCAAAATGGCCTAGGCGCTTTTATTAAGCAAGCTGTTGAACAGGCTATACAAGAAGCGATTGCAAACCTTGACATTGCCGCAATGTTTGGGGGCCAAACCCCCGACTCGCAGCGGACGACTCCGCCTCCAAACTGCAGGGCTCAACGCCGTAGGAAAGCGAGGGTTAAGAAGGCGAGCAGCCGGCTCGCAAGGCCACACTCAGCAAGCCAACCCTTCCGCCGCCTCAGTCGGTGCACCCCCTGCCACAAGCCCGAAAGGCCTGAGGACCCTTGGCACCTTCGCAATGGACTCCTTCTCAAAACCTCAGGCGTTGAGCACGGGGTTGTGTTAGCCAAAAAGGCCAGCGAGGGCACGCTGCCCGGTGAGTGCAACCACCAACTCACCTTCCGCAGTGTGCGCTTACATAACATTTACACCACCGGTATCCAAATTCCGGCGCCTGATGTCAGGGGCGCAGCGGTGAAGCAGGCGGAAGTCGCTACTACTGTGCTCTATGTGCGCTTCCACAAGCAGGGACCAAAGCCGAGTGGGACGAGGCCGTCAAGGCCCCGTGGGTGGCAAAACATGGCCTTCGTGTGCGCGACTCTTTTGCCTGGGCCAAGGAGAAGCAGGGCAACGATGTGAGCTCCGTGTTTGGCATCACCCGTGTGGATGAGAAGGACGCTGAAGCCCTCATTGCCATGAGTGGTCAGGGTGTCTTTCTCGATCCGTCCAAGCGCTCCAACTTTCCGAGCTTCGTCACGGGTGGGTCGAGCGTATGCCCAACGAAAAGCCTCTCGACTATCTTTCGCGCGCCAAGGCCTTGGGAGCCCAGTTTGGTTTGGCGTGCGGCGCCAGAAGCTTTGGCCGCCGCGCAGTTCGTGACAAAAACAAGCCTGTGGCCCGCACCTGGATCCTCGAACATGCGCCCCATACCTGGTCGCCTGTCCAGGCGGAGGCGGCCGTTTCTACCATTTTTACTGAGGTCAAGATGCTGCGCCAAAAGAATACCCGTCAGGGCAACTCACGGAGCATGACATGATTGCGCTCCCAGTTGAAAACGCCGGCTCTGGCCCTGAAGTCCTGTGGTGCCGGTGGCTGCCTCCTGCCATAACGGTCAAAAGACAAGCCATCGAAACCACTGGCTCCTGGAGCCTTGCTGGGCCCAAGGATCCCCTGGCGCTCTCGGGAAAGATAGTACAGCCTGGCGCCCCGAAGCCTGCTGATGGGAATGAGGGCGATGCTGCCAATGAGGATTCCAAGGCCACCGCAGGGCAAAAGCACAAGACCGCTGCCAACTCAGAGCAGCAAGGCAAGCGCCGCAACGCGGAGCAGAGGGCAGTCCCTGCTGGACTGAAGCTTCATGCCACTGACAAGGCCGGCAACTGCCTGTTTGAGGCCTTCGCTGTTGGGTTTGCGCGCGCTACCAAAAAGCCGGCCCCTGCCCATCACCTTCAACTGCGTGCTGAGTTGGTCCAGCATTACGTTAAGCACCTCAACACCTACGAAGCCCAATGGGATAAGGAGATGCCTGACGGCTCAGTGGGGGACAAGTTCGAGACTTACATCGAGGCCATTGCCCAACACAAAACTTGGGGCGGTTTGCTGGAGCTGCGAGCTCTTGCCAGAATGTTTGACACCAAGATTGTGGTAGCGCCGAGAGCTTTGACTGCGAGAGTCTTTGCACGACTTAAGGCTGCCCAAAAGGAACGCCTAGTGGTCCTTTTGTTCAGTGGCAACCGCTACGACTGTCTGCTTCCTGAGGATGGCAAGGCTTTCTCCAAGGAAATCCGCGACACATTTGTTGAGCCCCCGAGTGTGCCCATGCGAGGCGGTGGCGGTAGCCGTTGCAGCGTCTGGGCCACCTCCGCGTCACAAGCTCTACAGGTTCCGCCCGCCTCTTCGTTGCCTATTGATGCAGTTTCATTTAGGAGTGACCAGTCTCCTTCCAGACGCACTGTGTGGACGGCAACATCCACTCACTCTAAGCGAACTGCGCATGCTGCCTTTCCGGTGCGGAAGGCGCCCTTGGCTCCATCTAGCAAGTGTTCTGTTTGGAATGCGGCGGCGTCAGTGCAAGGTCTTCAGACTCAAAGGTCCAAGCCCAGGTCTAGCGCCTCACGATCAGGCAAGGTCCCTCAGCCCGCTACACAGCCAAGCAGCAGAACGGTGTAGTTGACAAAATGCCAGGTAGGCGCAGGAAAGGTGTCAGCGCCGAGGACAAGGCTCGTGCCAGGTCTCGGGCCACAGCCAACTCCGGCCGGTCTTCCCCTGCAACGCCTAGCAGGCGCACCGTGTGGACGTGCGTTCCCGAGCCCTTGACCCCTGCTCCCCAGAACCCTCTGCAGTCTGAGGACGAGAGCCAAAACCTTGACAATTGCTTCCCAGAACAGCTCGATGACAGGAATCCCCCTCTTAAGAGGAGAGCCGGCCGAATTAAGTTGTGCAGTTGGACTCAAGGGGGCTATGCGCGTTGCCGTCTATGTTCCCTGCCTCAGACGAACACGATAAGAAGATGCAGGGCCGCCTAAGAAGCCATTACGCTAGGCATCACCCAGGTCACTACCACAGTGGTTCGCAGCCTGGCCAAATGCCTACTTTGGTTACACAGGTCGCAGCCGACCAGGATGTTGCGTGGAAGTGTGAATTCTGCGACCACGGCATTTCTTTGAAACCCTTCACTGCAGGTGCTAATCGAGTGGCCCGGGACAAAATGAACCACAAGAAGCAGCACCGCCCTCGTATCTCTTGGAAGCGCTGGCGGCAGTCCGACTTCACCGACAGAGCCTTGGCCACCACCCAAACAAAGCAGAAACGGACGACCAAACCAGCAAAGGCATTCGCGTTGCCAGGTTCAGGTACAGTTGGGCGTGCCGTGAGTGTGGGCTCCCTTCAAATGGGACAAGCTTGCGCGAGACCATGTCAAGGAATGCCCCAGCGCCAGAGGCAGGGTTCTTGCAGCCTTTCGGCTCCGTGTGCTGCAGACCCTCAAGCAGAAGTACACCAAAGCGACCCCGCGTGGTCCTCGAAGATGTGCAGAACTGCAGCTCTTTGAGAAGGCGGAGGCCACTTTCCGCAAGTGGCTGCCAACGCAGCAAGGTCTCCAGGCCGTCAAGCATACTAAGGCCATCTCGGCCCAGCCCTTGTCGCTCTTTGCCTGAGTGCCACGTAAGGGCGTTTCAGGCGGGGGCACCTTGATGCCACTCCTCGCTACGTGGAATGTGGTCATCGATCCTTGCCCTAGTGAGGCCGACATCCCGGCAATTTCCAGGGCCAAGATGGCTCTTGAAGGGCGTCGTTATGGATGGTTCGCAGCTTTCAGCCAGCCTGG